GCAAAACTGCCGGGAATTGCAGATTTGTCCTAAGCCTGAGAGGATTTGACCTGAGAATCGGACGTTGTAATTTGCACAGCGAAGAGTTTTTTAGACTTGCTTCCTATTCCCCCCTTTTCCATTTTTCCCTCTTGTCACAGCGATGCACTTAATGAATTGAAGTTGTGATTAATTATATGGAAGTGCCCGCTGGATGGAGAGATTCTTCACCTCTGCGTTCTGAGTATGTGAATCAAGACTTTATGGAGGGATGTATTTGTTTCTCGTGTGTGTGTGCGCAAACATGAGGTGACTGTCTCCTGGAACTGCATCACACAGGGAAGTTGCTGTGCTCTGCAGATTTCTCCCCATCCAGCGACCAATTTATTAACTTTCACAGTTATTAACTTTTATTGTGTCAATACATCGTTACAGAGGGGAGGAAGAAGCGCTCCGCCTCGACTGCTGCCGTGTCAGTTTCTTACGATTGATGTCGCGTGTGGCTTCCTCATAGAAAAGCATCAAATATATTCAGTGTTTGAGGGTGATTGAATAAGTTGCAGCAGTTTATTACAGTTGCACAGTCTCTCTTTCTCCCTCTGTAGCTATTTTGTTAACACTCAAGTGCTAATTTCCCTCCTGGCATCACGGCCAGTTTGATTGACAGTTTGAAAGTCGCATTTGCATGTTGCTGCCCTGCAAAACCCCCCCCTCCAAAAAAAACATCAGTCTTTTCCCTCTGCTGGAATTTGCAAGCGCGTGGTGTGTTGCCAATTAATGTGTTCAAATGTGTGTCAGCGGACGCGGAGTGGAAGCAAAACAAATGGCTCGTTCATTGGCCTGCGTTGAATGGATATCTGGATCCTGTCAAGATGAGTAATGCTAATTGTGCTTAGCAGCATCATTGGTCAACGTGTCATAAGCCATCAAGTCGATTCTGAGGAGTTTGTCACAATCGTGGTGGGCTCATGAATTCGTCATCACCGAGGTGTTATCTGTCATGTTTCAATAAAACTGCTCATCCAGGCTTGTTTTTTTAAAAGCCCCGATACTTTCTCAGAAGTTGTGGCAATGCGGGGAGGAGTGATGCACCGAAGTTTGCGACCCCTCTCGAGCAGCACAAACAAGTTTTTATCGATGCAGTTCTCCGATCTGCGGAGTTCTCTGACAGTTCAGTTCCTGGATCATTTCGCACTCGTTGTAAAAGCCTCTGAGAATTTGCTTGCCTTAGGCCATATGTAAACGTAATTTACTTGGAAGAACAATTTGCCTGAACTGTTTCTCACTTCAAGATAAATAATCCCTTATGCATTATTGAAGATGCTGTACTTTTTTTCCCCCTCTTCCCAGCTCAGATGATTTCTCCCCCTTGTCGCAAATTGACTTAGTACTTTTTTTTTCGCCGGGAAATGTCATTTGTTGCAAACTAGGAAGTGGGTGTGACAGGCTCCCATTGGTCTAATCAAATAACGGTATCCTGACTCGTGTGCTAATTAATCACAAGCTGTGGGGGCCGTACCCATCCAGCGAAAGTCGGTCGAAAAAAGACATTTGATCTGTTGAATCAGCTTCCTTTGCCTTCCCCTCCTCTCTCATCCATTTATCTTACATTGATTCAGGGGAGTTCATTTGAATTTAAACCCTTCACACACACACACACACACACACACACACACACACACACACTCCCAGAAAGTTTTAAACCCTGCATCATCTGCTATAAAATCTGAGACTTCGTTTTAAAGAATAAAAAATTGGATCTTCACAAATTAACAGACTAAACATTTTTGCCCCTGTCCCGGGAACAGATTTGGTGCTTTGCCAGACTATAAATGCAGAAAGGACCATTATTTAGTAGGAAATTATCCACTGCGTCTCAGCTCATGCACTTCACTTAAAGTCTGAAAATGATCTAAAGCCATGTTTCTTTTTGTCGGGAGCCGTCACATGCCATGACATCTGTTTATCCGAGTGATGGCGGCTCGTTGCATTTTAATGTGGTGGTTGAACTCGCTCTCCCTCATGTTTTCTTGGGTGTTGAAATGAAAAACAAGGTTCCTGCAGGCCCCTGTTTTGTTACTAATGATGACTTTTAAATGTCAGTGTTACTCCGCTCTGTCTACACTCCAGTGGCCGCTGGCCCGGAGAAGGTAATGGGTCTGAGCTCTGTGTCAGTGACCCAGGAATAAGCTTGGCTTTTAAACGGCAAAAAAAATCTCTCAGCATCACTATTAACAAACCCACAATCAAAACTCCAAACCATTTCCCCCTCAGAGTGATTTTTAAAAGCTCTGCGGGGGAGCGACATTTTCCAAATGACCATTTTTCTCCCTGACCTTTTTCTTGCCCTTTTTGCTGAGTAATTGCATTTTTTTGAAATATTCATTTGTGAAATATGTCATTTGCCGGCGTCCTGATTAAAAAACAGTGCTCTGTTGGTGCGAAAGTGATGGAAGTATGCAACGTGACCCTCACGGCTTTCTTTCTACAAACTACTACTCCTCCCACCTAGATTCAGCACTATTGCAATTATCCAGGGAGAATCTGCAGTGAAAAGAAGAAGAGATACACGCTGCATATAAATGCTCTAAAGAAGTAGCTGCAGAGGGAGGAGAAAAGATGAAGTGAGCAGAACATGGGAACTCGGGATAAGACAATGGAGTTTCAATAAGAGCGGTTCGATTTTCGATAGCTCTGTCGACGACGTGCTCAGGTAGACGACGGCGATGCGTGCGAGTGGGACAGGATGGCGTCTCTGGCGCCCGAGGAATATGAGCCCTATCAATCACCGCCTCTGGGCACAAATGTAATTACACTACAGTTGTTGACTAGCCGGGTAATCCGAGACATCACTGGCATGCATCGACTCACTTACATTAGGGGATTGCTGGTGCCCATGCTGATGGTGTTGTGCTTGCCTTTGGTTTGAGGACACTGGCATGAATCAAGCCCTTGTCACTGCAGGGTCACAAAACTTAAAGGACTTATTCTAAGCTTTTGAACAAATCATACAGATGACATTAATCAATTTGTTAATGGTGGGTTGTATACGATATTTAATTTAATAGTGCTTTTGGTGTTTTTTCTCCACACACACAAAAAAATACATATAAACAAAAGCCAAGATTGTTCTTTTTCAATTCATCCTTATCCTTAATTTTTTGCAGTGCACCTGCCCAAGTCAACTCATGTTCTCCCTTTTCTTCGCCGTTGTCAGCTTCACAGAAGTTTGCCGTGATCCAGACCAGCACTTTTTCAGGGGGCGGAATAAATCTCCCCATTAAGAGGATGATAATTGATGGCTTTCATCACCAAATGGAATACAATTATTCCGATCGGTGCCGTTTCAATGGCACACTCTGCTGTGTTGAAGGCTTGAATGATTTATGAGACAAAATCAAGTGACACGATGATGAGCGGCTTCTTTTGTTGTTTCACCTCAGCGTGTGGCATTGTATTTTCTGCAATGATTTTTTTTATTTCAGGTATATTTTAAGTGCTAGAGAATATAGAAAATTGCAGACGCTCAAAAGGATGCAGTGTAATGACCACGTATATATATCATGACCTCTAATACAAAATTCCTGTATTTCTTTTTATGTAAGTATATAAATTGACAAGCTGTATAAGACTATGAAGTAATTACTTAAAAAAAACTTGGAAATGGAGTAATTTACTTATATTTTATACTGTGCTTATTAAGATGCTTATGACACGATGCTCTTAATATACTGGTTTTATCTTTCTTACTGTTATTTAATTGTGAATTACGGCTGCGGACTAATCTGTGTGTAGAAATGTGTGTACGTACATTTTTTAGGTGCTGCACAGCAAATTACGTTATTTCGTTTCATGTTTTTGACTGTAATTGCTGACATGTCTTTTAAACTGCTGTTCAGTTTATTCGGGATTTTGAATTTAGTTCAGACGTTTATTCAAAAAAACTTTTTCTTTATTGATCCCTGGATAAATTTCACATGTGGTAACAGTCTCTCTTACTTCCTGCCTGTCGCTCCGTCCTCCATGATGAATGTCTGCGCGTCATCTCGCGGGGGCTCTGGCAGCACGCTTGTCTGAAAGGATGTTTATAAAAATCTATAGCTGCCACAGTCCTCCTGCTGTCACCCAGGCCAATGTTTACGAATCTCGCTCATTTTTTTCCCTCGCTATAAACACACAACACCCCCGGTCTGCTGCGCACGTGCCTGCTTGGTGCGCGAGTCCTCCGCAGACGTGCGTGGGCATGCGTGCGCCTGTGTCAAGGAGAGGGAAAACAGCAACCTCCAGGCTGCCGTTGCTCGGTCCCACTCGCCCTCCTGGCCATTTTGGCTTCACTATAAACAGACGAATTTTGCCAAACAGACTCTCAGCTTTGGCCGGAGGCAACAAACACCTCCTGTTCGCATGTAGCTTCACTTAAGTGCACCGTGTCACCTTAGAATACAATGAACAGAGCAGCTTGTATGATTTATAGATTCTAGTGGGGGGGGGGGGGGTTTGACATCACGAGACACCGTCTGCTGTGGCGTCTTTGTCTCCGTGGTCCTGTCTGTCTCTAATTTCTCAGCTGAATGCGCGTGTAATAAACGTTTATTTTCCTCACCGTCAAATGAAAACAGCGCAAACAACAACAGTCTATTTCCTTATGTTTGATTTGTGTCAGTCTGTCTCTCTCTCTCTCTCTCCACCACTCCTGGCCTCTCGAGGGCCCTTGTGATATTGCTCATCCTCCCACTCCGCGCAAGCAGCATCCTGTCCGCCCACACTCTCAGACCAGGGTGGACAACCTCTTCTCATATGTCTCGGTGTCAGACCTTTTGATTGCAGGTCCGCCCATCTGTTCTTCTGTTTCCCTGCAGGAATATACAGATTCTTTTTTTATTTTTTTATTTTATTCAGCACTGCCTGCAACTCCTGGATAAAGTTGTTTTCATACTTAAGAGCATAAATCCTTTATCCAGAGTAGAAAAGAGATTATGCAAAATAACTAATACTTAGGTTGTGTGTTTTTCTTTTTGCAGCCTTTAGTCGAGCACCCATCCCCATGGCAGTGGTGAGGAGGGAGCTGTCGTGCGAGAGCTACCCCATCGAGCTGCGCTGCCCGGGCACCGACGTCATCATGATCGAGAGCGCCAACTACGGTCGCACCGATGATAAGATCTGCGACGCAGACCCTGCACAAATGGAAAACACGAGGTGTTACCTGCCTGATGCATACAAGATCATGTCCCAAAGGTAAGAAGGGGATTTGCACTGTAATACACAGTATGTCGCAGATTACGCACATGATTTACAATGTTTCATTTAGTGGGTGTATTATTTAATGAAATATGAAAAACATGCCTTTCTTTTGTTGTAAAGATTTATCCATGATAACACTTTGATTGTCACATATATAAGTAGTTTGGGCTCCATTTTAAAAGAATGGAACGTGAGTATTTGGGTGTTTTGTACACACACAACCACACACTCACACTTGCAAGCAAAATGTGTAATACAGTTAAGTAATTGACTGGAGAAGCTGTTTGTTAAAGAAACATTATCAGTCCTCAGGTAATGAGATGCTGTAATTCACACCTTAGCTTTGCCCAAGCAGAAATGAATGCACTTCTGCTTGAGACCTTTTTATTCTTCATGGAATAACAATAATTTCCTTTATTCTCAGAGAACTGAAATGTAAAGGCCTAGCGGAAAATAGGGTGTTTGGATTTTTTTAATGTAAAATATCACAGTAGACATGTTTACATGGATTTGACAGCAGTGTTATGATATGAACCAGATGAAGACTATATGTCTGAATAAGACGCCGGTATGTAAACAGCAGTTTCTGTTTACATTAATCTAAAGGTCAGACTTGGAAAAAGAATAATTGAATTTAGTCATGGAGTCTTGTGAAATCCTATTGTGTAGACATACATGAGTTTTAATCACAGTATGACATCCAATTCTATTCATAGTAAGTAGGAGGGCGTAATGTGGACATGAGTCATAATCAGACTGGTCTCTGTAACATGTAAACATGAATTAAATATTCTGTCAGCAGCTCATGTAAACCTCAGGTTAATGTAGTCAATGTCTCAATAACTGAATATAAAATAATATTAATATTTTCTATATTGTTTTAAACGGACAGCTCGGTGTTAATAAAGCATGTTTTGTGTTTAGAAATAAATAAACTGTTATTTAGGTCAAGAATCTCAAAGAGCAATGAACCTCATCATCCCTGCTCGTCTACACCAAACCGTAAATTTCCTCCGGCACAAATCAATGTTGATTTGAAACACTATGAATTCATTATCAGGTATTTGTCGAAACACAGACGTGCTTGATGAGCTTTGACGAAGTGACCAGTGGCTTTAGAGCAATCAGTGTGCAGAGAGGATGGTGGGGGGGTGTAATCTGGTGGGTCTGTGGAGTTTCCCTGGAGCTGCCGGCCGGTTTATGACCGACCGACTGACTTGACCATAGACGGTACCGTGAGTGCCCTGTACGCTGGGAACGCTGATGTTATTGAAGCAACACAGACGCTTCACTTTGTGTTTACTTTCCCCGAGTTGTTGTTGGGATTATTTTTGTCGTATCGGTTTTTAGTTGTTTGACCTGGATTGAACTGAACTGTGTTGGGTTTGTGGGGGAAACACTAAGACTCACATCCTCACCTCTTTCCTATTCTTTGGTTATTTTTGTTTACGACCTAGTGTTCTCGTCTTTACTTTTACGAATGTTGGTGTTTTAATAAAACCCAGAAATCCCCCCCCCCCCGCTAATTCTCATGCACCCACTTCACCCCCCAAAAAAACAAGGTATGAACCAAACCCTGGATTTGGAGAATCGTTACACCCCTAATACACGTGGAGTCACAGGGTTTTAACCAAGTCGTCTGGTTAAAGGGGATTGTAGGAGCTCAAGGCGAGTGCGGAGTGAACATATTCACAGTCAAACTTGCACAGTCTTGTGTTGACTTATTGCAGCACTTAGAGCACAATGAAGACTCCTCTCGTGGATATCATTCTTAGTAGAGTTTCTCTTGCCTTTGAGGTCAAAGCACCCTTGAGCACTCAGAAGGAATGGAGTTTATCTAAATTGCTACTTGGCGTTTACATTTGTCTGTCTCTCTTTGCTGCCACAGCTTTAATGTATGTCCACCTCTTTCTCTTTCCAAAGCATCAGCTCCACATTGTGGAATCTGAGAATACTAATGGAGCTTTGGGCTGTGTCTAACAATTGCTCTTGGCTTTTTAGTTTGGTACCATAGAGTTCAGATAATCAGCTGCGTGAAAGGCAGCTGATGGTAAAAAGAGGTAGTTTGAAACATGTTGTCAGATAATTGATGCACCCAGTAGCTCCCTTGTTCTGCAGCCGCCCACTCAGACTGAAAATCCCTGCAGGAATGAATCAATGGGTCTGTTTCTGTCATGAACACAAAACTAAGATAACGTTCGAGGGAAAAGCAGATATTCTTACCATCTTGTTGCTAACAAGCTTTACACTGACGTGAAAAAGGTAACCACAACCTGATTCCTGCCTTTTGTCTTGGGAGAGGAAGTTTCCAAGTGGAAGGAAGGTGTGGGTGGAATTGAAATCGGGTTTAGAGGGAGGGCGCCAGAGCGGAGATGGAGCGTGAGGATTCAATGATATTTGTGGCTGGAGCAACACAACTGCACATTAGCATGCGATGGTTAGCACAAAAAAAACCAAGATGAGCGCCGCCCCCGACTATTCCATTGTCGGGCTGTCAGAGCCGTTGCTAGGTACCTGCGGCTAAGCTCACGAGGTTAAAAAAGAAAATGACAACACAAACAGCAACAAGTAATTTGAGCAGAGACGGTTTTTAAAGACTGATGAAGGCGGAGGTGACAGCCAGGGCACCGAGATCTGACTCATGAAGTGAAGTGATATGAAAAACAATGTCACATGCATGAAGTTATTTGAGTTTTGCTTTCATATTGATACCATATATTTTTTCCACTTAATCAATATCAGCAGAGAGTCGTTAATATTTCAAATTTATTTACCCCTCTAATCTCATGATCTCTCTCTATACACCATGGGATGTGTTTACACACTTAACATTACATAACTAAATCTCTGGAAACAAAACAAACAATTTATTGAATCTGATGGAAGCATATACGGTGCATCCAGGGAATATTCAACCCTCTTAAATTGATGTTGCAGGGGAATGCTGAAATCGTTTAAATTCAATTTTACTCTCAAACTACACGCAAATAGTTTATAATTGCAAAAAAAAAAATCTTTCAGAAATGTCTGCAAATAAAGACTGTAAAAACTGTATATGAACACAATATTTGCTTTTGCAGTTGTAAGATGCTTAGAATTGAGGTCAAACAGTTCAATCTTGGTGTCATCAGACCAGAGAGTTGCTTCTTTTGAAAACTGAGGGGTTCTCAGTCACCTCTGTTACCAAGACGCTTGTCCAGCTCTAGAATGACTCTGCTGTTCCAAACTCCTTCCATTTTTTTCGTTGAATAATTATGGAGGCTGGAGACACTTGCTTTGCAGGGACCTGATTTCCCTAATCTTGGTTTTCATGAGTTGTTTGATTACTTGTTATTGGCGATGGAAAACAAAACAAACAGAAAATGGACGGGCTTTTATGTTTTTGTTGTTTGTGGTGGCTAATTGGCATAAATTCTTGTTTGTGTATAGCAATTGTTGACTCAAAAAATAGTTAAATATAAAAAATCAACAGTGAGATATGTCCTGGTATTGATTTGAATACCTCCATGTCAGCAGGGTTGTCCGTCTTGTACATCCCATTCTCATCAATGGGAAGTGCTGGTTTGAATTTGATGGTCAAAGGTCACGGTTACAGTGATTTCACTAAATTTGAGTCCAGTCGATGTTTTATTAGTTATCAAAGTTGCAGAAAAGTATGATTTCTAGTCTAAGTGCAAATACTACCAAACTGCATACATGCATTATGTAAAAGGGAATTATGACACATTAGTCGGTTCAAATATTGGAGACTAATCTAATTCCAGTTTTAATTTTACAAAAACCAGCTGGTTAACGTGTAATAATCTAAATATTACCTTAATCAGGTTAAACTCTAATTAGCATGATTGTGAGTGCAGTGACAGCGTTTTCCTCTCAACCCTTTTTTTCTCCTCCCTCTAGCCGGTGTCTAACACCTGCCTCTCCTGCGGGCACCAGTTAAGTCGTGGTGACTGGCAAGCGAGGTAGTTAGCATTCACATCTCGTCTGAAGAGGAGCCAAGCGGCTGCCGGCTTAGTCTTTGTGCCAGGCGCGCATCCGTCTCCGGCAAATGCCCAGTCATGTCACCGATTCTCGCGGGCTGTCAATACACATTTACGCAGTTCAATCCCCCCCGGTCCCCCAGGCCACTAAGAGTGCCCCATTGATATTCAGCTATCAAACCCAAGCACTGCCTGTTCCAGTTTAGCCCACTTATAGTGTGTGTGTGTATACCGGGCCTCTACGGCAAGGTGTTTTAAGTGAGAGCTTATAGCACCCAGTGCCTTAGTGATATTGCAAGTGCTGCAATGCATCTCAAAATGAAGGTTGTCTCGCACCAAACTGTGACAGGCTGAAATGAATGGGTCTCTTTCAGCAGACGTCCCGCCTCTTTACTGCAAGCGTCACGGCTCTGCTGAATCCTCAGCGTCTAGATAAACACGTGACCTATAGGTGGAGCCGTGTCGCAAGCTCAATGGAGGCTAACGATGCTGTTATTGAAACCTGCTACCAAACATTCATTTAGCACAATTGGAGAGCATTTGCATAATGCACACACACACACACACGCAGGCAGGCAGGCTGCTCTCTGTGATTCTGTAATCACTGCTCTTCCCTTGTGGGATATTTTTGGAGCTTATTGTTTGGGAGCTGAGGCGTCTGTTGTATCTGCTTCTCTCCAACACGCGTCCAGATCCAGTTCCACTTCCCAATGTTTGAATTCGCTGGAGAGTCCGGACACTTGTGTTATCAAACAACAGTGATCCTTTTCTCATCACAGCCCAGTATCCCTCTCCTCCCTTATTTTATTTTTTTGTCTTCCCCTTTTCCTTCCCCCAAGGCGGCGTGGCCTTCACGGCCAGTAATTACAGGCTGTATCAAAGCTATATATCACCTGATATCACAGGAGACCTCAGCAGACACCTTAAGGGACAGCAGATAGCATTGTGGCAAGCTGGTGCATGACCCCTGAAGGAGAAAAGCAGGTCAGGAAGGAGCAGAACCCTACATTCCCC